ATAGGCGAGTGTACCCCTGGATGTGGTGGAGATGTTGCAGTTTCTAACCTGTCTTTTCTGGGAAAGATCATTGAGAAACTTGTCTGTTCGAGACTAATAGCCCACATGGATGCAACAAACAGATAGATCTACATCAATCAGCGTGTAGGATGCGCCACAGTACAGAAACTCTGCTCATCAAAGTGAAAAATGACACTATGATCGACCTTGCTTTGAATCGGGTTACCTTCCTTGTACTATTAGATCTTTCAGCAGCTTTTGATACCATAAACAGAGAGATTTTAATATCTCGTCTCTCATCTAGAATTGGTTTTCAGGATGTTGCACTGCAGTGGTTTAAGTCATATCTTGCAAGTTGGTAAACAACAGTAGGAAATTGAGGGCAAGAAGTCTCAACCCATAGAAGTAACTTTAGGATTACCACAGGGTTCCATTTTTGGGCCACTTAGTTATTTTATCTAAACACTTTCTGGTGGAGATAGAGCTTGTTATCATGGTATGTCACATCACTGCTATATTTCGTTTGATCCCAAATCTTCAAATGATAGAATTCACGCCTTTGAAACTTTAAGTAAATGTCTGGTTGATATTGAATCTTGAATGAAATGTGGCAATCTGAAACTTAAGGAAGACAAAACCGAGTTTTTCATAATAGGTTCACCTTCTAACTTTAACAGACCTCAAGAAACTGTACTTGAAGTAGGTCACACAATTGTCAAACCATCAGTATCTGCCGGGAATCTTGATGTACATTTTGATTCTAATATGCCCATGTCATCTCACATTACTCAATTATGCAATGTTGTTAAATTTCACATTTGCAATATTTCAAAAATTAGAAAATTCATCAATCAGAATACTAACAAACATAAAGTCAAAAGTGTTATCCTATCAAGGTTGGACTACTGTAATGGGCTTCTCACATCTCTTCCAGTAAGTTATCTTAAAAGATTCCAGAGCCTTCAGAAGTGGGCAGCTCGTCTAATTTATAAAACTAACCGCAGGCAGGATACCACTCTTTTGCTACAATCACTACAACAGCTACCCATTTTCAAATGAACTTGCTACAGCTTATTAATTCCAGTATACAAATCATTTCATAATCAGTCATCAGATTCCGGTTTCACACAGTGCTCTTATTACCTGGGTACATAATTACCCGGGTAGTTGTCTACACCTGGGTAAAAAATAACCCGGAGAAATGGTTTCACACAACATGCTTAACCCCGCAATTCATCTTACCCGCTTTGGTCCGTACCCGGGTAAATAATCGACAGCTTTCACACACCGAGCGCGATCGCAAATGTGAACCCTGAGAATAGCATCGCTTGACCTTTGCCTTCCCACAGTGCATTGCGCTGTCACTTGGGGTTGCACTACACCAAGGCCGTTTTCCAATACTCAACTTCGGCTCCGTCTCAGGCTTCACCTGTTTTTAACTAGCTGACTTTGAAGCTGTAAGCGCAGTAATTAGTCTAATAGTGCCACAAAACATCAAATAAGATGCAAAAAAGCCAGAAATTATAGTAATCCAATTTAATTTAAACGCTTCAGGCCCACATTCGGGGATTGGTTTTGGGAACGAAGCCTGAGACGGAGCCCAAATCGAGTACTGGAAAAGGGCATATACGCACCCATAAAAAACAGTGCAAAATCGGACCAAAATAGTGCCGCCTGTTGACTCTCATGAAGAGGTTGGCCTCCGTTTTTTTCACTGGAAATTCAAGATTATGGCCAAAAGATCACTTTTCGTTTCAATTGTTAGCCACGAAAATTTTTTTTATTCGCCTTTGAACGAAGATACCCCCAAAATAGCAGTTAAACTAATCGCTCATTTCTGAATGTAGCCTCCCGCCTCTATCCAAAATAGGTCCACAATTTGGAGCTTTTGGTGAAAGAAATGCCCCACACTGGCAACTATCAGTCCCAAATTCGGGATTTATTCAAATATTTCTATGCTGCCTCCTGATTATGGCCTGTCTTTTTGTAAAAATTCTGTGGGATCACAAAATATTAATGAGCTCGCGCGCAGAAATGCTATGATTTGGTGGAATGCACCCTTGACATATCATATATACATTATCGTTGCGGTCAAGACTGGTGCCCTGTAATTTTTTGTGCGGTAAACAAATAAACAACACAAGTTACCAGACGGACGTAACCCGCTGCAACAAGGTACCAGCTATGGAAGATAGTTGCGTCACTGCAGCCCAATCAGCGCATTGAGACAAGACATCATGCCGTGCACTGCTATACCATCTTTAGTGCAGATCAGAGAGCACGCAGACAGCTCAACGAACCAGGGACGAACATACCCGGGTTTGATTATTAGGCGAGTGTTCACATACCCAAAGTCAACCCGGAGAATCGTCTCAAGGCCGCCATTAACCCCAAGATTGGTGGGTTAACCCACCTAAGGGCAGGGTTAGAAATTACCTGGGTTAAGTGGGGTTTTGAGGCAGTTAACCCTGAGAATTTCTAACCCTGAGAAGAGTTGTGTGAATGCTCCAAGATACCCGGGTAATCTCAAGGTTAATTTTTTGCTAACCCCGAGATTACCCAGGTAAAAGCACTGTGTGAAACCGGTAATAATATATGCAGTCCTGTATTCTGCCATATGTTCCTTCTAGACCAAAGCTATTGCTCATACTAATCCTTTTTGATTGACCTTCCCATGTACCCACAACAAAGCTGACAACAGACATTCACAGTCTCTACAGCAGAGGAATGGAACAGTTGGCCCTTTCACATTCAGAGTGCCATATCATTAGGGCAATTTGAGAAAATGCTAAAACCTACCTGTTCTATCAGTAATGATAGCGATAATAATATGTTTTCGATGTTAACTTTATTAATGCATTGATTATTATTATTATTACTGGTTTATTTCCATCCCGTTCAGTAGGCATGAATTAAGTACATTGTTTTTTAAATATAAAAATTCCTTTGATAAATGACCTATATAAAAACTATGAAACACATTAAAACAGAAGACAACTATGGTAATTCAACTAATTAAAACCATCATCAGATCCAAAACCACAATACAAATTTAAGAACACTCTACTGTACCTTTACCCTCAAATTTAACCTAACAATTGATTCAAAATTCTTGTAAAATTTGGTATTGGACTGTTTTTGAATCTTTTAGTACAGCTAGTTTGTCCTTCTCTAGTACCGCTAGACCTGAGGGACATGTTATGATTCCTTTTAGACTCTGGAAACAAGTGACAAAAATTACCCGACCTATACGTTTTCAAAGCAAATTTTTGACACAAACTAGTTCGTCAATCAAGGAAAGGCTGAATTCCCAATAATGTCATTGCTTTACTGTAACTCATGTATTTGCCTCCGAGAATTATTTGACAAATTCTCTTTGAATAGCCTCAATTTGATCAGTAATTACATCAGCAATTTGGTGATTAATTGTATCAAAGGCTTTGCTGAAATCAGTTAACCATTTCCTGCCGGATTTATTTATCCATGTTGATTCTGCCGGGCCAATTAATTTTTCTTTTTTTCTGTTTTCAAAATTCTTTACAAATTCAAAACTTCATTTACTAGACGTTTACACCCACACAAATGACTGTCTGATGACTACTCTAATCTGACAGACAACATCTATTCAGGCCTGATTATATTAGCCAGGCCTGCCACCTTGTAAAAAGAGCCCAGATTATGCGGTGTCATGTAATTTTCTTTTGTTCCTGAAACCAGCACAGTGCAATGCTGACGTCTTTTCAGTAGGGGCCAGATTAGTGTGCAGCAGTATTGCATTGCTCATCACTTGAATGCTGGAGCACTTTTGTCCCTGATGGTAATGCGCTTGTGATGAATGCCATAAACAGAGGTATAATCTTTCAATACAATGATGGATTTACTCCGCTATTGACAACTGAAAAAATGTTGGAAATTCCCAGCAGCTCGGTCTTTTGTTCTAAGTATGGCCTTTTGTTACAAAGCCCAGCTCTTTTGTCTGGTTTCGGGCTGCCCGGCATTAGGTATAAAGAAAACGAACCGGAAACCAGGTTCCCCGGCAGAAAGTGGTTAACACTAAAATACCAACAACATTATTTACATTTGAAATCAAATAATGGTAAAAGTCAACAAGACAATGGCTAGTAGAAATACCCTTTTGATTCCCAAATTGCTAAGGTCAGTATTTGGCTTAATGAAATTTACGACCCATTTACTAAAAAACCTTCGGCTGTCTGGGATAAAAAGGATGTAAGTGAGATAAGTCTAAGTTTCTCAGGTGTGGGTGGAATAACCTTTGGAACAGGAACCATATTTGCTTAATAAGCTTATTGATTAAGTTTATGTAATTATTCAACTAATTTTCATTTGTAAGCGCTGTGATTTAGTTTACTTAAAAGAGTGTTCTAAATGCTGGTCATTATTTACCTAGGATGTTGTTCTTTTTTCCCCCACTTTCCCCCCCCCATAGACATAACACAGGGTTATTCTACACTTGACTTCTTCCCTGCCTTATGGTCCATCCCCTTCAAACCTGCCACAACAAACGAGCTTGTGTGCAACTGTTTCCTATTTTTGTGTAAATCTCAAGTTGTCTGCGCTATACCGGTCCTGTCCTTCCTAGACAAGGCTCCATATATTCAAGTATAAAATGTCCGAAAATTATCTAAATCTAGCTATCCAGATGTCATTTAAAAGGGAACATGTTCATCTATCCATTCATGTAAAATTCATATCCATACTGCAAGTACATGTACATGTACATGTAGTTAGGTAAATATCTGCAAAAGAATGCATGTGTTTTGTACAACTGCTTAATATTTTTGCGTAATCCTGAACCTGTATGAGTTATACCCATCCTGTCCTGCCAAGACAAGGCTCCATATATTCCAGCATAAAGTGTCTGAAATTATCTCTTTTGTACGCATGTTTGAAAACCCTTTTGGGCCACTTGGCAATCTGGCAACTTCAAAGTTACACAAAGCAAATCCTTAGACAGCAAAAATGTTCTGGAAAAATTGTCATGATGACGTTATCAGCTGTCAAATTACAAGCACTTAAAATATGAAATCTTAAAAAATCCTCATAAAATCAACCATGACTTCCTGCAGCTTCTATTTTGTGCCTAGTGATAGAGTGATAATTGGTCATTTCTTCTCGTGTAGGTAAAATCTCTTGACCCTTACTCCCGCTCCAAACAAGTCCAAATCAGAAGTGCTTCATAATTTGAAATTGATAATAGATATGAAACTGCTTCCAACGGTGTTAGTCTCCGACCCAATAGTTTTCCTCAAAACATCTATTGGTAACAACATGCAACACTCAAGCACCCTCTACGATAGATTTTTGAATTTTAAAATCTATTTTGAACAGATGTCCGTTGTGAAGTTTGCTGGAATTTCTTGAAAATCGGTAGATGTAATGACCTTTGTGCCTGTAAAGTTTGTGCAAAAATTTAGACTGATGATGTCATCAGACTGGAAGTAATAATGAAAAAGCTTTAACTCATTAGAAATTTTAAAAAATCAATTTCGACAGCTACAGTCTGAAATTGCTCATCAAATAAAAGAGTAATTATCTGCATCCGTTGTCCAAGATGTTGGGCTTGTTTTATTTTACATACTCACCACGCACCAATAATGACAACATTGTATTATGCTGCTGATGCCTGCAACACAACCCGTAGGGGTAAAAGCCATAGCGGTAAGAGCCATATGCTTTGTACATGTGAAGTGTATAACGGAGCCCTAACTTGGGGGAATCTGGCAAACTACCAAACACGTGGCAGGGAAAGCGTGTGATCATGTACTGTCATACTCTGCTGTAGCAAAAAAAGGTAGTGGTTCCACTGACCCGATTTTGATTCTGGCCTATTCTGTGCTGGTAAATACACTGTATCTTCTGAAGCGCATGTATGATTGAGTCCTGCATATACTGTGAGTGTTAAATGTTGAACTGCAGACTTAATGACAGCTGATCAATTCCCACACATTCCGACTTCATTTATTATAAAACCGAGTTTCCCGAAACAGCACAGTGTTTGTCTACTGACAGACACAACGTTCGTCGCACTAGCTGATTTGTACACCAGCTGAAATAGCTTCTTTTTTTAAAGATTTTTTCTTTTTGTTGTTTTTTTTGTGTATGTATTAAAATCACTTGACCCTTACTTTGGTATTACAGAGGCTTGCATTGTTTTGCAAAAGAAACGTGTCACGAGATAAAAATTGACAGAAAGTTTGGAATTTGTGAAAATTTATATTTTTTTCATAATAAACTTAAATTTAGATTAACATCTTGATATTTGTTTAAAACTGACCAGTTGTCAGTATTATTTTTTGCTGAAAATTTTGAGTTTATAAGAAAAATATACAGCCACATATAAATGCCACATACACTGATTTGCAAGAGTCATTTAGTGTCAACAGTGTCTGTACCACATTTCCTACTGCACCCTTTCAAAACTTCAGGGAGCATCCCTCAGTGATCTTCGCTACAGCAGCACTTGACCTGCCAAATTCATGTTTAACTCACAGTCTGCCTCCAAATACTTTGTGACTTGTGTGCACGAAGCAACTAGGGAATTAGCATGTTGAGACCTCAGCCAGAGGTGAGTTGAAGCATGCTAGACACTTATCTCTCAGCTGTACCTGTGTTGCAGATATATCTTCTGGTAAGAAGCAGTAAAATGATTCTTAAATGCATACCTTGAATCCATCGATACAAGCGTTCATATGCAGTTTCCTCATGAAGGGCCATGGACTCCATTATTTCCAGCCTGTGGGATGCAAAATGCATGGATTTGATTCCAAATTCACAAGGTGAAATTGAATGTACATGCTACATGTAAGTTCATTTTCATTTTAACATTTTAAAAGTTCCAACTACATATCTTACACGCATGAGTAGCTGTGGAGAGAATTAAATGGGTTTTACTGTGGAAAGGTAGAATTGTTACCACTAAAAAATCAAAAATGAAAAAGAAAACAACACCACAACATTCTCTCGACAAGAATACAGGAATAAATCAGTGCTCTGAAATATATGATTGCCGAGCTTTCGGTAACTGAGTACCTTCTTCAGGGCAAGCAGATTCAGTTCACAACATTCTCTGGTGGATAACTTTATGTTATCAGCAAAATTTGGGGAAACTTAAACCATTTAAAAGCTAGTAGTATACACTTCCAGATGCACGTATTCAAGATAATGTTGCATTCAGTTTGGCCAAATTTGCAAAAGATTATTGTATTGTTATGCCGAGCTCAGGCTAATTTAGGTGTGTGCCTTGTGATGGTGAAATGCATGTTTTAACTGCTCTCAATCTGAATTAGAGAAACTGTGTGGCATGGAGTGGGTTGTTTATTTCAACCAGATAAATTCAGTTTGCAGAAAGTATCTCTTTATTGCTGTGTGTGTCATTTTTTTTGTGGGGGGGGGCAGTAGGATGGCAGCTTCCACAATTCGAGAAATCTAAATACAGTGGTGAAAATATTAATTGCCCTGAAATGGCATACTCTTGACAACTGGTAGAACAGTCATCAGAACAGCACACAAACATGAACCAATATCACTGCAGTATACAGTGTATATAATACATATATTCTTGGTTTATTTGCCACTCGTACAAAATAGCATACATGGTGGAAATTGATTGGATCTGCTGCATCAGTAGCCAGAAGAGAACTTGACTACATGTATTTCACGCTTTTGTTACCAAGCATCTTTATTCCTGATTTTAAAAAACAGTGCTTTTAATGTGCTAATCTGCAATATACATATATATCTTGAAAATAACCACAAACAAAATATGATTGATGTTTAAACGTCCTTAAATTATGGCTGAAAGTTAGAAGAATGATGCCCAGAAGTGGGTGCAAAAATCAGGCACCTTATCCCTAATAATGATGCATGGAAATATACATGTATGTATGAATGTGAAAATGTGAAAGTAGAAAATAATCGGTAATCACATCCACTTTAATTTCAGGGAAAAAATTTCTCAACTACCTGATTGGAATTGACTGACATTTGCTAAAGGCATGGGGGGCTGTTGATCTGCTGTCACATCTGACTTTTTTAACTCTCTACATTTTTAATTTTATGATTGTCTAAAATCTACACTTTGTTCTTGCCATCTTGTGCTAATTTCCATTCTGATGCGACTTGTACTTGAAAGTCCACCTTCTTTGTGTGATTTCATGCTGTTTTGACTGTCACCTGGTGTTTTTTTTAATTGAATTTTCATCATCCCTGCTTGATCCTTGTGGTGACGCTATTGCAACACACTTTACATATTACTGTCTCTACAGATTGTTACAAATTGTAAGGTAGCATATTTTCATTGAAGGTCTGCCGAATTTGCCACTTGACAACTTTTATCACGCTTAAACCTGTTAATGAAGCTACGGTGAATTTCATGTCCAGGATAAAGTGTGCAGCAAAGGGTTCTTCGTGTCAAAAAGACCACTAATAAAGTGGTCTAAGCATGGCTACATTACCTTTTTTGTCCCTGGTTGCAATTAAACCCATGCGACTAGTCACAACACAAAAGGTACTGGTGGTCACAGCTATCAATTTCCAGATAATCAATTAGTCGTGATGCGGCGACTAGTAAGTGGTTGAAACTTGTGGCCTGATCCCACAACTGTACATTCATGCCAATACAACTACACAGTGGAGTATCCAGTCCACGCAGCGCAGCACCGTAACACAACTCTCATCTTGTGTAGTGCAGCAAAAGTTAGCAATGCACAATGTATTATGACGTACAGTTTGTCCACAGAGATTTGCTGAGCATCTCACGTACACTGTAAATAGTATGCATACACACAATGTGCCAGTACAGTACATACTTAATACGGACGACTGGTCCGATCCAGAAAAATTGCACAGAACACCAAGAGGGCGCAAACTTACACTACTTTGTTTTTCACGATTCCTCCTTGCTTGAAGATTTTTATTTATTAGCAGGGCCATGTACATGTACCCATGCTTTAAGCAAGTCAGACACCATTTGAGCAAGTCTGCACCATTCAGACATTGATAACTGTATAAACGCATGGGATTGTCATCTTTAAGAACTTGTTGCCAATCACCTTGTGGAAAACAATCAAGGTTTCCTTCAAAAAAGTGGTTGTTAGTAAACAAAGAAACAAATCAGAAATATCACAAGTGTTTTTGACGAATTTTTTTATTTTGCAAAACGGCCTCATATTTCATTCAAGAAAGTGTAAACTCAAAGTCCAACCACCAAAATGAAATAAGCGGAATGCACAGTGTGACATCATCCCAAAATAACCACTACCGGTACAAGCATAGACATGGCACAGTGGTTTAAGACCCAGACATTCAGTCTGATTTTAGTTTTTGTTTTTCATACAGCAAAAAAAATTTCATTGGAGTCTGAAAAACACAAGTTTTAAGTATAGAAAACTACATTTTGAAATTCAAACCTCTGTTTTGGGGATACATGTATTACAGTTGCCATGTACATGTACAAATTAACAAGAGTAGAATACAAAAAGGATTCACATTCTGTTTCAATATAAAATATCTGCCGAGGCCAAAAACATTTTGTTTTAAAACAAAATGTTGCTTTTTGGTATTGTGTCCTTTGTCCAACATCTAGAGAAGGAAGCCATAATCTGGAACCCATTGAGGATGATTTCCAAATTGGAGAAGTAAATGATGAAGCTCTGAAGAATCTCTTTCAAGATCTGCAAGACCAAAGGGCAAGTCAAGACCTGACTCGGAGATTATGAGAGTGGATTTTGAAGATCATGTACCACTTGCCTGCTGGCATAAGAAGCTGGAAATAAAACTTCATGAATGAGGGAATGATTAAGAAAGCTAAAGAGAAGGTGCAGTCCTACTTATACGAAAAAACAGGCATACAGGTTGATGAACCAGATCCAATCGGCAAAGGTGGAACATCTACAACTGGCCTAATTTCCAGGCGCTTGCTTCACGAGAGTGAAAAATGTCAAGTCCTCATGGAATGTGTACTAAAACAAGGTGACGACAGATCACAACTCTCTTAGATCATTGCAAATGTTACGATTATTCTCCATCTGGTATCATCCACAGTATTTGTCAATCCTGACAAATTAGATACACTTTGCAAAGACACAAACATGCTGTTTCTTGAGCACTTCCCAAACTTCAGATTCACATGCTCCATTCACCAGCTTCTTGCCCATCGTGCTAAGTTGATCTCAGCAAACAAAAGTCATGGCCTGGGAATGCTGTCAGAGGAGGCTCGCGAAAATAACAAAAAATTGTGTTTTAAGAACACTCAACCCCAAGAACCTGAAATTTGTACTGGCAGTTACACTCTAGATGTAAGTTAAGTTATTGGGGATATGGATTCAAAATGACCTCAGATGGGACATTCATGTCAAAGTATGTGCGCCTAAAATGCTGCCATATTCAACAAACTGCTCCTAGTTTTTCTTCAGATTTTGCAATCTGTGGTTTCCATTGCTTTGAAACTAGTATTGGGAGCCTTGCTAATGGGAACTGATACCATATGTCCATTTCTACCCGGGATTCTGGGCCAGGTTTTGAACAACTTGATGTGACTTATTTGTCATATATGTGAGCCTAAGTGCTACCAATACCCTGCACAGACATCTTGGCATCTTAAGATCCTCTACAGACATTCATACTGGATTAGTGGTGTAAGCAACATAATTGGATTCTCCACTTGACTGAACATTGAAAGATAGCAAGCATTCACCTACTATCTCCCTGGTGCATCAAACAATTGTTTTCAAACAATAGGACCTGCTTTCTGCCTTCTACTTGTGCTGTACCTTACTCGGAATTAGTGTGTCACAATGTTTGGTGGCTCAAACTTCCATGTCTATTACAAACAGCGTGTTTACCATCAATTTAACGGAGGTTGGTTACCTTACTACAGTAAATCTACAGCAACTCAGCAAATCCAACTACTCAAGTCTGGCAGCATTATCCAAATCCTGGTCCATCTCTGAGAGTGTCACACCCATGCACCAACACTGAACATGAACAAAAAACTGAGCCCAGTCAGTCTACTCCTGGGTTAATTTCTTCCACTGATGAGCTCAAAAGGTTCAATAGTTCATCTAGGTTGTCCTTTGACAAATGGTAGTTGATCAATTGTGGGTTGAGTCTACTACTGCATACCTACCAGATTACCAATACCTATGCCTTATTTCCTAGTCAATTACTTCCATGCGCTAAATTCTCAATCACTAATAGTGTGCTCCCACTCACCCCCCCCTTCCCCCCACAAAAACATTGGCCATGTTCATCCTCTTTTTCAATGCGTGAAGTGTGCCGGGGAGGGAGATTGGTAATCTGGTAGGTATGCAGTAGTAGACTCAACCCACATTAGGTGGGGGAGAGTCTACTGTACCTGCAACCTATGCAGATTACCAATACCTATGCAGAGTAGCACTGAACCAATGGACGGTTGGAAGGCGAGGACACACTACCAGTATCTAGCCATCTTATAGTGACTGCTTGAGTGCCTCCTCCTGCAGGGGTAGAGACTGGCTTCCAACGGTGCAACTGCAATGCCGTCCACCTTACAGTCAGTCCGTGTGTATGGTCCCCTTGCAAACATCATTGAGGTAACAGGAGGTGAATGGGGTATGGGTTTCCTACAAGGCTCTCTACAAATCTCTATTACAGGAAACCTTTGAAATAGGCCCCTACTGATGAAACAGCCTGGACATCATGGGCACAAATGTGTCATCTACATTTGTCATCTGGGCCAGAAAGCTAGTCAACATAGCAAACTTAATAGTGTGTAGGACCACGAAAAGAAACCCAAAGATACGGAGTATAACTGAAGGTAGACAAGTGCTAGATCTTACCATAGGGTCTTGGCTAAGCGGGTATTATTGGCACGTCTCAGCATAGCTCATTACAAGCCATGCTACAGGTAGCCTGAGGTAAATGGTCGTAGCGTTATCTAACATAAAACCATGTAGATACCCGCCAACATACACAAATGGAAGATGTCGACATTGTGCATGTATATAAGCCTAGCATCACGGATCATGATAGGGTCATAAACAATAGCACACACACTGAACATGTGTGTCAGTTTTGAATCGCTGATAACATCATGTAGATCTTTATTTCCCTGGTACAGCTAAGAGAAAATAAGAAGCCCATTCAGTTGCTTTTGATGAAAGTGCTGCGTTGGGAGGATGCAAAGAAGTAGATTCTGTGACTAAATAATGTACGCTGCCGTGCAAAAGTCTGATGGCACCTACTTATACAAAATATTTATTCCTATTGATCATTAAATGCAATAAAGATGTGAATAAAAACTATGCCTGTGTCTGTGGTAATATCCATATTCCAATAAATTCATGTTTTGTTTCATGAATCATTTCTTCAAAGTCACCAAAATGTTAAAAAAATGACATCATTTCTGTTCCGCATGCCAAATTGAACGGAGAATATCCTCAACCACAACAAAGGGAATTTTATTCCATTTTTACACCCCAGATCATGTTGTTGGCATTCTATTGAACACTTAGAACAATTAATCAACATTTTTCCCACAGAGGTCTTCATGGACCCTTTAAGGTTATTACAGTATGACTTTTTAGTTTCAACTGTAAATACATGTATAATGTACATTCTTATGGTTATTGTAAGGTTTTTATCTTTTTTGATTTAACTGCTAATTGATGTAAACTTCCAGCAATTTGGCCATGCACGCCACAAAGGATGAGTGAGATAAATATTCATTAATATGATTGAAAATTAAATTATTAAATGAGGTCAGATGCCCAGTTTCCAGACTTCATTTTTGTGACTTTTAAGCTTAAATTTTAAATCACCTAAACATCAAACATCTTGACTGTTTTGTTAACGTTAAAAAAATAACTTAATAATTTTCAAAAAAAAAAAAGGCTCAACAATAAAGATGTTCGGTGACAAAAGTGTTTAAAACAAGTGTTGTGCCAACTTAGGATACTGGTACATACGAAGAATTTGATTAGCTCTGTCATCCCCATAGTTAGTTTCCATGACAACATTTTAAATGATATTTATAAACATTCAATGAATCAAGTGTGGTAAAAAGATTCATTGGTTAATTTAATGCCAACTGACTATCCCCCTTCCTACCCTGGTGCTAAGAAATGCAACACAGGTACATGTAAAAGTATCTACATTTATAAACATGGCTTCTTGAGAGTACATCCATTACTGTTTTTTGTTACTTTTTTTTCCCATTGATAGAATGCCAATGATTAAAAAAAATCCCCCTACTCTTCACAAATGTGAGGTACCAGTACTTATACATACCCTGCAGTTTGTTGATTTGTACGCAACAGAATCTTGCAATCATTATGTATCTGTTTCACTCGTTCCAGAGCTGCAAAGAAGTCCTGCAATTGAAAAAAAATTTTACAAGAGCAAGCCTCATTTGTTATTCACAAGATAGCTTTAAAAGCAACAAACTGCCATCATCACAGATACACATAGTTTTCTTATTGGCAAATAGCAATATTTACTACCATTAGCTACAGTTCTGAGAAATAAAAAGTTGTCTTTAGCACTGCATTTGATATAAGTGCCTGCAAAAACACTGTCATGATAAAATACCTTCTTTCAGAAAATATAAACATGGATATATCTGTTTTTGTAAAGATTCCAAGGAAACCAATCTCAGTGGTACACTTTGAAGGGGTTGTTTAATAAAATATAAAGCCACAAGTTTGGCTTTTTAATCATGTGGTTATCGAATATGGTCACTACAATTAGGAAAAAGCTACCCATTTTGTTGCTAGTTAATGTTTTTCTAAACACAAAGCATGTGCTAAAAGACCAATCATTTTGAGGAAAAAAGTGGAGCAAAAATTGTTGGCTTTTAACTTTGCATGCTTATGATGATGTTGGGTGTTTAACCATAAAGATATGGGGGGCACAATCCAGCTCCCCACTCTCCCTTTTTTTTCCACATATTACCGTGATGCATTTCTTTTTCACGAGCCGAGCTTTAAAAAAATTTCAGTCACTTTTGACACCAATTTCATGACAATGACCACAGTGCATGCCCAGCACAAGGCTATTCGTGAACAGTGTTAAAAAGTCACTTCAAATGTCAGAAAATGACATAACAGACAAACGTAAAGTAAAGGAAATGGGAACGAAAGTAAAGTAGAAAGAAATTAAAATTGTTTTATTAAATACAAATTAACAGAACAAGACAGGCACTTCAAGCTAAATGAACTATTGAAAAAGATAATTTAATTGGTGGCCATAGTGAGAGGGGAGATACATGTACATGTAGATGTACCTCCATGGTGGAATCCTGATCTTGAGTTTGTGGGGGACAAAGAGTTTGGAGCCGCGAGAGTTCTTGGTCTCAATAGATTAGCTTGAGAAGTGACTTCCAACAGCCAACACTTGCAAAACTGGGTGGACAACGAGTGGACAAATGTGCGGAACTAGCTAGCAGACCAGTTAACATGGTACAGCATGGCCTACATGTACATGCAGGATGGGACAGCCGGTCCACGGGCACACGTGAAGCCTGACGGTCAGGAAACTTAGTATTGCCAATGGACAGTGTGCCTCGTTCAAGCCCCAACAGACTGAAGGTCAGAATCCGATAGAATAGGGTGTGATAGTCTGTCCTATCAGCGCAGCCATACACTGATTCAGGCGCCTGCTTTGTTCCCAAAAGACCTTGGCATTTTGAAATACCGAACTGGCTCATTGAACAA